CTCAGAAACATTTTGCTCAAGTGTTAGAAGTTAAAAACTTAGTTAACACTAACTTTATATTCAGAAAGTGGACAGGAGAGACATTGTTTTTGGTAATTATGTTAAAAGTAATTGGAAAATATAACAATTATAAAAAAAACATATTGTAATTATGTCTGGTACAGCTATTAGATAGTTATGTTTGCAACAGGACCGACAACAGCTGCAAATTGAAATTTAAATGGATGTCCAATTTGATTACATTATCATGAAGAACAGATGAATGTCCCTTCATCAAACAACAATTACTATTCATTACAGATGGCATTGGTGGAAAAGTCTCCAAAGTCAACAGCATTACTCAGCTATGAAGATAAAATTTCTGCACAAATGCTTAGCTCTATTCATTCTTGCTTAATCCTTGCAGTGTCATGGAGCGTTGAGATATTGGTGGACTCAATGGACTTTCGGTGATAGGTGAGTACCAAGATGCTCTTGACAATTATTGTTTGAAAAAATGTTAAAACAACCCAATCAGACAGCTGTCTAACATAAGGTTTATTTAACTTTATCTAAACAACACAAATGACCAGAGGGAGTAATCATTTACCTTGCTTTAATCACAACTGAAGCAACCAAGCTAATTTATACATGCCATTTTATTCCCTTTAATTAGAGGTTCGGCTCCAACCAGTCATGAAAACCTCTATTATAAATTTCTTAGAACAAACCAAAGACATCAGGTCCTTCAGTGTCAATCAACAATTAATAACTTGTTGGGTTTCAGCCAATTGTTCCTTTTTGGCTCCTGAAAAGGCAAAATTATTGATGTACCAATATACGTGATATGCATTAATACGACATAGTGGGAATAAAAAACCCCCAATTAAAATAATTTATTTTGGTCAAATCTCATTTCATTAGGTATAAAAAGTAGGCTTTTCGTTGTCCCTCTCTTCCACAAGATTCAAGATTTTTAACATTGCTTATACTATGCGATAGCCTTCCTGTAATATAATTGTTTTATTGATATACTACTGTTTTTCCCACTGTGGTTTTTACATTGTTAAATTGTCAACATTTTACTAAGGTTTATAGTTGTAATTTTTCCTATGGTTTAACAACTTCTCCCTGTTATAAATAATGATAAAAAGGGTAATAAAAGGCAAACAAAAGACAGATTTTCAAGTTGTAAAAAGAGGCGTTTTAGGGCATTTCATAATTTTTCCTTTTCACTGCTATTCTGGTTTAAAGCTTGCATTAATTATGTTTATTTTCTGTAGACCACAAGTAAGAAAAAGTGTGAAAAAATAAATGTCTTTCTTTCTTCATAGAAAGAAAGAAAGGGAGGCTAGAACACAGCCAATTGTGAAATAGCAATAGCATGAAGCATGGAATGCAAAACATTGAGCGTGAATGTATTCTATAGTAGAATACATACTAACATAAAAGTTCTGATATCAAACTTTCCACCTCGAATGTGCCTTCTCAGGAGACTATTTTATACAGCAATTTCAGAGATGTGAAGGTCAAAAAATATGCTGTCTAAGAGCAGAAGCTCAGAGCTCCAACAGGCCAACACCCCAGCCATTCAGTAGTGCTTTGTGTCAAAACATTTCTACCTGTAATTTGGAAGTGTGACAAAGGTCACTCTTGACAAAAAAGTTAATTAAAATTTTAATTTTCAAATTCCTGCACCACTCAGGCAGATGGAATAATTTTTGGTCCAATTCTAGCCGGTTTTTACTCAGATGTCCACAGGTGTTCACAAGTGAACCCATTTCTCTAAACAGCTGTCATCAAAATACAAGATATGCAGGAGTAGTGTGTGACGGCAGAAGTAAATAGAAGTAGCTCTCAAAATGTTATTTCAGACAGATCACCTCTCACATCACTCAAACTCTGAAATAATTAACCGCTGCTGCTTATCATCATGGGCAAACCTGCAGAAGATAAATTTGAAGACAGCATTTATTGATTTAATTTGTTAATGCAATATGTTAACCCCTGCCCTGCGAGGATATAGATGATTGATGGGGTGAATCCATCCAGGATGTTAACCCCAGCAGACATTTTATAATGAGAAAATAAAAGCAGCAGGAATTGTAGTAAAATATTTTTAACTTCTTTCTTCCCAGGTAACGCAAACTCTGCAATATCTGAATTTCATTTTGGTTGGTGTGACAGAGAAGGCTGCATGATAATGACAATGATAACTGCACTCAGAGGTGCAGATGTATCTTTCTGGTAGTGGGTGGTAACGGTGCTTGCATGACTTGTTGATATTTTGAGGAGCACACATTATATCTACGCGCACACGCACACAGACTAGAGGAGTTCATGTCAATGTAACCTAATGCAAACAACGCAGATGAAGACAAAGGAAAAACAAAATCCACAATACAACATCACAGAGTAGATTGATTAGTATACGTAACCATATGGATCAACAAGTCTGACTGAAACTGTCCACCTTGCTGAATGTCAGTATCAGTGAACATTAACATAGCCCACCAACTCATTAGCAAGGCTATTTCATTACTTAATCACAACCTGATATTAAAGCTCACCAGTGCAATGGCTTTTAATGAGGCAAGGTTAAATCAAAAGTTTTACAAACAGCAGGAAAGAATCATATCTAACAAATATATGGCTAGAAGACTCGTGGACCTCATACAAATTCAAAACCATTCAGATACATCCTTTAAAATAATACAACAGTTGGCGTCATCACAATAAATATTGAATTGTTTGTCACTCACCATTCTTGTTAATTCTTGATGAGGAGTGTGTTGCCTCTGGTAGCCTTGCAATTTTTTCCAAGTTTCTATTCCTTGGCAATGTTTTGTGATTGTTCAGTATTAGATTGTGGTTCAGTCTTGATTGACACATTGTGGACTGCAGATACGTTTTAAGGCGCCTAAGGCCAGAAAATTACCTTTCTGAAATGCATGATGTAGCAGGGACAGTCAGGGAAAGTTTCACTGGTTTTGTGACCTCTGGCAACAGTGTTCTCAAATATATCTCCTCATCCCCTTTGAAAAAGTTCACAAAATCCTAAAAAGTAACCAAGCAATCTGCTCGTTGTTTTGCTGTCCATACACACATTACAATGCAGTGTTTCATGAGTGAAACATGAGCATGTAAATTAAGTAACTGGGTCAGGAAAGATGGACAGAGGACAGAATAATCAACAAAGCAGTTTTTGCGTCTGACATCTGCTTATCTTTATGGCAGTTCATACTGATGCAGCAACATTTACACTCTCAGCAGTAGCATTGATGCTAACTCCAGCTGCATGAAGTTGTCACTTTTCATGAGTTTGAACTCTCTTCAGTGCTTTGGCCTAGCTGGTAAAACCATCCCGTACAAAAGCTCTCCATGAGTCTTGGTCATGTGCTGAAGATAGTTGTTTTTGGCCGCAGTGAAGACCTGTTTATTCGTCGTAGCCAATACATTGGTACTTCCATTTCCAGCTAGCTTGAAAAGTCCGCCCTTTTTTATGCCTCATATCTGTACTCTTACTTCCTGCAGTCACTGATGGGGTGGAATTCTTCTTACTCTTTTTTTTTTATCACAAATTTGACTATTTTGTTTATTTGTACTTTTTGCTTGTTTGTTTGTTTGTTTAAAAAATCAACAACACTATGCTAGTCTTTCAGCAAGTTGCTGTCCAGCGTTTATCTGACGTCATGACGTAATGTGTCGCCAGAGCAGGACTGGTCGGTAGCCAATCATTGACAAGTGGCTGCATGGCACAGGTGGGCGCTAATGACCTGAAGCACCCACAGAATCGGGCCCCATGATTGTAAAATGTTTATAGAACTGCTTGGTGAGTTTTAATGCTGTACAGTTAGATGTCTACTTATAAATCTTCAAACAGCAATGCAAGCTGGTGTGAGACGCCAGTAGTTTATAGACTATAACAATTTCACACAAGTCTATAGTGCTATTTGAAACAAGTTAAATTGGTAAGACAGTGCATTCACTATGTACTCAGTTCACTGTGTTCATTTAGCTGCGAGCAGACAGGAAAGAAGTTTTGCTGTTGCACAGCAAACATTCATTCTCTGCAGACCGCTGATTCAGCTAAGTAGCTATTTCTCCATTCTTCTTTACAGATAACTTCTCTTGTTATTGAGTTCCGACTTGAAAAGGGGAAGATAACATCCAGAACAGAAGCCCGGCTTTAATTCATTCCACCCGCTCTCCCCCTTCAAACACGCCCACGCACTGAAAGAGTTTAGCCTCCGCTAGCTTTTTCCACATCCTGAAAACAAGATTAAAATGTTATCGTTTTGTACCACCTGCACAGAGCTGCTCCGACTCCCGCCACAGATAAACCATCAGGCTTAATCCTGAGCTCGAGCAACACACACTAGATCAGGCACAAAGATTGGCTAAAACAGCACCAAGAGATGCTTGTTAGCACGAATTCTTTTCTTTGGTGGGTCGCTTTCTTTTCTTTTTTTGTCTTTAAATAGAGGCTCTGTACGAAGTTACACAAGGAGATAAGCGATCATCTGAAAAGCTCCATTAAGCCATTGTTGGGTGAAAGAAGCGGAAAGGGTGACATCTAGTGTCCAAAAAAGTATGGTGCAGTAGAGCTGTCGTCTTTTTTAAATATGTCTCATATTTGTGAATTCAAAAAGTAAATTGTTGTTTCTTTTTTTGTCAGAGGAAGCTGAAATTTTAACAGGGGATATAGACTTTTGGGTGCCACTGCATAAGTTTCCCTTCTTGAACTGATTAATGCAATAAACTAACTTTTGAATATCAGTCTAATTAATTGAAATGCAAACCTAATTAAGTGAAATGCAAATCCGACTTAAAAACATCTTTAACATAGATATCTGTGTCAAGGTCATAAGTTTAAATCTCTCTAATACTGTTGAATTGATAAGAAATATTAACTTTAATATTGCGAAATCTGGCGCCAGGAATTCTTGTTACATACATAATTGTACGTATAACACACACACACACATCTGTCATGTAAATTAGTTGAGAAACAATTGTTCTATGTTTATAATTTAATAATAAGATAATAAAAATATAAAAAATATGCAAGACAATATACATATATCAGAAGAAGACAATTTTACATCAGATAACAATGCTGAAACTATTTTGAGCCTTAGGATTTGGACATATTAGGACACCTTGGATCATTGTCCTGCTGTACAAATGCGCTTGAGATGAAGATCATAAACTGATGGCTGGGCATTTTCTGATGGATATAATAGGAAACACAGAACATTTACAGAATCGTATCCCAAAATTCAAAGTGATGGGTTCAAATTGATGTCAGCAAAAGTTTTGGGCTTGAAACTCTCCCATGGATGACTCAGCTGCCCAGCTTCTATTTGCATTATCTTGTGTATGAATGGTACAACATCTTACACAAGGTTTGATTTTGCCCTGCCTTTTTAAGTGTTTAATCATGAACACTGATGTTCACTGAAGTAAGGCTGGCAGTGCTTTTAGATGTTGCTCTGGGGTATTTTGTATTCTATTGGTACACCTGACTACACCTGGGAAAGTCCACATTTTCTTGCTCTGTGTGGCTAAAGACTGAATTTTGTTTCACTAAATTCATTTCTAAAACTCTAGAAATGACTTTGTAACCTTTCACAGGCTGTCGAGTACCATTTCTCATCTGATGATGAGTTTTTTTGAAATCCAAGGAATGATTTTTTGTTATAAGATAAGTTCAATTTAATTGATTATCTTGATTGTTGAGGTGTATTTATTATCAAAAATATAGGTAATTCCTCAGTCAGCAGTAAGTTGGGACTATTCAATCAAATCAATCCTGGATAAGGTTGATTTCGATTGGTTTTAGTCTGATATTAAAGCTGATTTAAAATATGAAACTGCTGCATCACAGCAAAAATCTCTAAGGGGACAAACATTTTTCATTGCACTGTACATTTATAAATAACTTGCAGTCTACGTAGCAAATAACTCTAAACATTTAACAGTTAGCTGGTTCATCTAACAATATCAAAACACGCCACACACAGCGTTTGTCAACCTACAGTGAGCCCAGGACACCTGTAGAGGTTAACAGGTGAGCTTCATAGGAATGCACAGAACTAATCAAATCTAGAAATGTAGTCTTGTGATGCAGCCCACCAACTGTGCTGCACTGCAACATGAGCCCTGACCGTCTAAAGCTAAAACACAAACATTCATGAATTTTCTTTCTGCTCCAGATCTCTGAGGTCAAACGTCCAGATGGATCCTCTGGTGGCGTTTCAGGTTGCATTTCTGGGTGAAGCGTTTGCCGCATGCCAAGCAACAGTAAGGTCTCTCGCCTGTGTGGACGCGCCGGTGGGCTTTGAGGTTGCTAAGCTTGGTGAAGCTGCGGCCGCAGAGCGGGCAGCAAAAAGGCCGTTCACCTGTGTGAATCTGCATGTGGGCTTTCAGGTTGCTGGGATGTGGAAAGCTCTTGTCACACTCCTCGCAGCGCAGGAAGGGCCGGTAAAGTGGAGAGTCAGGAAGGGAGACGGGATTGCGGGACGACTGATGGCAGTTTGCAGGGTGATTGTGGGATTTGATGCTGACCCATGAGGTGCTGGCGCGGTGCAGAGCTACGGTCTGTTTGTCGCCCAGGTGAACGCGCTGCAGTGACTGCAAAGACGAAGCGGCTTTGGATGTGGAGGAAATCCTGTTGGGGTTATTTAAAGGTGCGACCTGAGAGTGAGGGTGGGAGAGCACTGCTGTTGTCATGTTTGACAGTCTCTGTGGCGGCTTCTTCAGTGGTCGGTGCAGGTGTTGTATAGCTGCCTGTAACCTGAGTCCTGAACCCCTGTGAGACTGGAGCTTCACTCCCTCCTGTGCTGAGGATTTGTGGTAAAAGTGGTTTGGTTTATGTGCTAAGTTCACCCTTTGTTCCTGTAACGAACCAGTGAATGATTGTGTCCCAGCTTTCTTTTCTGTACTCGCCCTGTCTGTAAACCCATCAGAGTCGATAAGGACTTCTTCTTTAACAATCACGCTCGGCGTGTTGTTGGCTCGCAGTCTGGCTTTGGGAGATTCCGAACAGGAAACCCGATCTCTGACTGAGGTAAACTGAACATCTGCTCTGGCAGAGCCAGAAAGCTCATGCTCCAGATAATTCACAGAACCTTTAGGTGGGCCTGGAAACTCAGGTTCTGTGCCAAGCTTGTGATTCTGCTGGAGCCCAGCTGCTGAGGCCAGCAAGTCAGCCCACTTGGAATTAAGTTTGAAAGCTGGAACATCGGTCTGGTCCACTGCCACTTCGGTTTCGTCTTGGGTCTCAGGATACACACAGTCAGTGGACATGTGTGGGTCTCTCTTAATGACAGTTCTCTGCAGCTCTTCACTGTATGTTTGGGCTGGTATCGGCTGTGCCTCAACCAAGTCACTTGCATCCTCTGGTTCAGCTTCACCTGGAAGAATTTAAACAGATTTATAATAAACTGAACAACCACAATTTTTAAAATATTTTATTTGGTTATGTGATAAACCAACATAAATTAGGGCGGTGGGGTGGATGGAAAATAATATCTGAATATTTTTCAAAAATTATTTTAAAAATCTAGAAAATGTGTAGTGTCTTTGTTCAGCTGGGAGAATTTGTCAGCATGAAAACTATGAGCTATGCACTCCAAGTTTTTTTGTTATGATTCATCTCTATGGTGGAGACGGCATTATATTGTGGAGATGCTTTTCTTCACCAGAATTAGAGAAGTTCACATGTACAGTTATTTATTTTTTTAAACACTGTTCATTTTTTGAACCGGATACTTACGATCAGAAGTACTGCTCCACTCTCTCAAATGCAGAGAACAAGAAGACAGTTTCTTTAGTTCTTCCTCTTTCATTTCCAAAGATGTCATGATTTCCTTTTCTCCTGTGACCTGAACAGAGAATATTATGTGATGAAAACCAAGACACAGTACAAAATCATCTTAGTTAACATTTTACGATCTGTACATTCTTCTCAGGTTTATTCCGACTGAAACAAGCTTTGTAAATAACATTTTCAAGCCATGTTGGGTGCCAAACAAGTTCAATGTTCCACTACAGAAGTAAACGCTAACCAAAAACAAATGGGCTGTGCTGCCTGTTTTCCAAGGTGCCAGTTTTAGAGGCTATTCTTCTCCAACACATCCGTACCAATATCAGCCAACACCGATATGGGGGCCAAGATGTTTTATGTTAAAAAGATTATCTACAAAAGACCGGTGCTACTGCAAATAGCAAGGCTGGATTAAAATACCCGACTAATCTCATTTAACTTTTTGATTAATTTATTGATTATTTATTTATTTCTGCTCTTTAATTTGTCTTTGTTGAAAATCAAATTGGACGCTTTTCAGCAGCTCTGTCTTACTGTCTCTATATGTCACTATTTTTCTTTCGCATCCACTGAAAGGGTTTTACGCCGTAGAAACTGTATGAGTGAATATTTTAGGAGTTCTATAGATGCTTTTCTTTAAAAAGGCTTCATATCTTTTTTTTAAACTGCCAACCTCCAGGCGGGCCAAATTACATCTCAACAGTCATGTGACTCACCTTTGACTCTCTTCCAGGGCTCTGGATCGGTTCTGGATTGTCTACTGGCTCTGTTTTGGATTCTTCCCTGCTATTTGACAACCAGTGTTCAACTCCACCATCTGGATTCTTCACCTCGCATTCACTCATTGTGTCTGCAATGAAAAGGGAAATGTAATACATTAGTGTAACAGAGTTACCCATGACCTGCTTTGAAACTCTTGCTGCATGTTTTTACCATGCTCCTCTGCTTTTGCTTTCACCACGACAGGACTCTGATCTGCTTCATTGTCCGCCAACTCAACAGACCCGTCGGTCCTTTCTGCATCCCCGCCGAGTTTGCTCCCAGTCCACTGCAGCTGCAGCCTCAGAGAATCCACCTCCAGTTTGCTGCGCCTCACCTCCATCATGAAGACGTCCTCCACCAGCCTGGTCACCTCAAACATCGCTGTCTTCACTACAACCTCCATCACATCGGAGAGCTGGGTCTGAAAGGTCACAATGAGGGTGTCCAGGTCCGACATGATCCACTGTGTCCTGACACCCTGCGAGTCTGTCCTGTAATGTCCACTTTCAAAACTGTTTGGGGGGAAAATCTTTTAAGAGTGCTTTTGGTTTGGATCAGCCAGACATCTGTTTGTCGGTATCGGATTCCCTGGTTAGCAGGTGATGATGTGGCGTGACTTAACGCTAAATATTAGTACTGATTACTGCTGACATCAGATATTCACCTCGTGATATTAGCATGACGCTAGCGTCCCGCAAGCTAAACCTCGTTAGTAAAATAAGCGAGACGCAACAAACCATGGAGCGCATGCGCGACAACGCAACCGATCCGAACGTTCCGCCGTGGATTTTTAAATAGGATGATCAGGAACAGACGTTAGGATGAAGAAGGCAGCCAGTACCCACTTTGTGAAGCTTGTTTTTGCTGATGACGTCACAGCTGACGCAGTACGGTGGCCCGATGCTAGAAAATGATTGCGAAACGTTTTCGGAAATCTCTAGATATGACGAAGTTTTTATTTAATTTAAAATACGCTTCAAGAGCTTAAACAAAAATTATTGTCTAGTTTATTTCTAGACCACAGTGGGGGGGTTGCTAAATAGGGTGTCTAACGTACAAAGCATTCATATGCCTTCAACATCTTTTCAAATTTTGATCAAATACAAACTGAAAACGAGTTAAAACATAAATAAAAAATAGTGCGAATACATAGAATGAAAAAAAATTCTACATATTTCCACTGATTGGCAGTCTTATCACAGGAAGGATGAAGCTATTTTTCTTAATATGAAGCTGCTGAATATTTTGCAAGAGGTCAGCAAGGAGAACAAACAGTGGTGAAGGCTGATGGGGTCTTTTGTGATCGATCGCCTGAGCCCTGGTGAGGCAGTGTCAAAGATGGAAACCAGTCCTGATTATTCTCTCAGCTGTCCTCACCACTCTCTCTACATAATGCCAATCAGAGGCATCACATGTCCCAACACAGACAGAGATGATGTTGTCCTGTTCTCTGTAGTGCCTCAACAGAAAGTGGTGAGAATGGGAAGGCAGAGGTTTGCTCTTCTCGTTCAAAAATGTGCAGACGTTGCTGTGCTCTCATCACTTGACCAAAGGTGTGGAGGTCAAATTTTCTGATCTGTATTCCCAGGAATAAAATCCTGCTGACCCGCTCCGGACAAGGGAAGTGTTGAGTCCAAGTGGAGCTAGATCATATCCAAGACCGTGCATTGGGATGTGTGTAATGCTGACACCCATCCCACAGTCCAGACCCTCACCTACGTCTAAATGTGGTTTCCTCTCATAAGCAGGGGCTTACATGCAGGAATTAAAATTACAGAATGATGGTCTGATAAACCAAGGTGAGAGCTGTCATTACAGCTGCTTTAATATTTGTGAAGGCTCTTTCTAATGTTTTGTTGGTTAATATAAAATCATATTTGTGTTGCGCATTCATACCTCAAATGATGCGTAGCAGTAAGTCCACCAAAATATATTTCTAGAATAATGAGGGAGGCTGAATTCAAATGCAATCTAAAGTTTAGTATTTGGAAAATGTCTTGAAAACCAGGTGTTCTTTCTTTCTTCTTCACAATAATGTGCCACTTTGTTATATTCTCTACATCACAGGTTCTAATGTGACATGTAAAAAAATTTCACTGTAAATGCAATGTAATGGTACAGAGCATTGTCTAACGGAATCAATTAAAACACAGTAATAGCATCAAAATGAAAAGAATTCCACAAATAAAAAACGATCAGCATTTCAGTCTATTTCCTTCTTTAAGAAAATGAACTTACTGTAAAGAGAAATGAAAAACAAGTTGTGGAACACTTAAACGTACCAATATATCTGTAATATATCAATTAGACAAAATACATAAAAAAATGAGATCTACTCAGGCATAGGGGATAATACTTCATGATCCATGATAGTGATTGACTATCTGCTCAATTTGAAATGCCTTGTTACTGAAATGTGCTATACAAATAAAATTTGATTGACTTTACAATCCACTTTAAAAAAGTGATTTATTCTGAGTAAAAAAAAAAAAAGAAGCATAATTTATAAATATTTGATTAAAGCAGTTTTAATTGCTATGGTTACCTAAGGAAAATAACCAATCTTTCTGCTGGATATGTTAAAAAAATCTCAGTTTCAGGATACATGACACCCCTACCTGATGAAACAAGCTGAATTATGAAAACGTGTCACAAGCTTTTCTTGAACTGGCAAGAAAGCATTTAGTTCAGCTCAAAAATACTTTAATAATCCCAGAGGGAAATTAAAATTCCATGACTGGCTGCCATACAGCAGGTTGATTATTCTATTTCAGAAGCAAAAAGAAAATAACCAAGTAATGACATCCAAAGCCAGTTTTATTTTTTGTGCGGTTGAGAATTCACATTGAGTACATTCTAATCAAATACAGTGAATTAAATATACAAAGTGTGCAGGTGTTGAAGACATCAATTTAAACATAAGAAATATTACATTTTGTCATTTATTTTCATAATAAAACATATTTAAGTAATTGCATTAAATAAATGCAACCGACAACTAAAGAGTTTGAAACTTAGCAGTGCAAACTTTTATTTGTAGATTACCAAATTGAAAGAAAGAGAGCACCATTAAACCCAAACTCGCTCAGTTTAGTCCTATAGGTCTGTCACATGTTTGCGCTGATGTGACTTGAGGTGGTCCAGCCTTTTGAAGCTGTGGCCACAAATGGCGCAACAGTATGGTCTTTCCCCCGTGTGGGTACGCTGGTGCACTTTCAGGATATCTGCTCTGGTGAAGCTCTTATCACACATGCTGCACTGGTGAGGTTTTTCCTGCGTGTGAATTCTTTGGTGCAGCTTCAGGTTCCAAAGGCGGCTAAACTTGTTCCCACAAACAGGACAGCAATAAGGTTTGTTGCCTGTTTGACCACATTTGTGAGTTTTTAAATTGGCAAAGGATGGGAATCCTTTTCCACAGTGGCTACACAGATGGAGGCCCTGCCCTAAGTGGATCCTCTGGTGGACTTTCAGATTACATGCTTGAGTGAAGGTCTTTCCACACTGGTTGCAAATGTACGAGGATCCTTGTCCTGTAACTTTATGGGACTGTTTGTGGGGCTTTAAAGAAACTGAATTAGGTAGCGTAGTACAATAAAGGTTGTGGGTGGTGCTCCTTGCTTCATTTTCTGAATTTTGATGATGTAATCTTTGTTGCAAGTTTAAAGTGTCATTGTATGAAGCTGAGGATTCATATGATGCAGTGGGGAACTGAACTTCCTGTCCTCTGAAGCTCATTCTGCTGCCCAAATCATCAGATATCTGATCGGAGTATCTGATATTTGGCTCCTGCAAATATCCTTCCTCATCAATAAGCAAGCCGCTGAACTCCCCACTCACGTCACTGTTGGTCCTAACAGGGGAGCTCTCAGTTTCTCTATTCTGTGGAGACCCTGCTGTATAACACTGGTGCTTAGCTCCTTCAGGGTTTTTCCTGTTCTCGTTAAATTGATCCACATAACTAAGGCTGTCAGGTAGATGGGTTGGAGAATCCGGTAGCCCATCATAGTTATCCATCTCTCCATATCCAGGTTTGCCAAAGTTCCCCAAGTCATTCAAAACGTACCTGTTCTGGAAATTTGATTCAGAGAGGACCTCCGATTGTCTATCTTGGCTCAGCTCCGATCTCTGGTCAAAACCAGGTTCCCAGTTAACATGGCAAACTGGGTTATTCTGCTCACTGAAATGTTTACTTGGTCCTGGAAGACTTGTTTCTGAAATTATATGAACAAAATGTCAAGCTGGTCACAATAACACACCTGGCATATGAATGATGCAGTCAGCTTTCAATGTGGATCACGTTAAATTCTCTAACACAAAGATTGCAAGGCATGTTTTTCTCTGTACTTTGTAGTGTTTTCATAAATAAATACTGTTTTCATCACCAACATGCATAGAAACTCACCTTCTTTGCTAACACTCCACCGGTGGGATTCCTCGTCTTCTGGCTGGATGCTCTGAGGAGTTTCTTCTTTGAGTTGTCTCTCACATGTATCCTGTTGTACACCTGCACCCTGGAAGATAAGCAAAAATACAAAAGTTGCATTTAGGGATTTTTTTCTTTTTTTTTTTCATCACTGGCTGGAGTCTTAAAGGATATCTCTACTTGGGTTAATTGCTGAGTGAGATTCAGAAATTTGCCATTGTTTTGTTCAAATGCTTCAACGTCTACTCTTTTTACAGAGGTAATAAAATGTGTGTATTTTAATGAATAATAATTTATATAGATTTTTTCATTATTTACGACTTTGATTTTGACAGAGACAACTAAGGAAATCAGTATGTTTTTGTTTTGCGATGCCACCAACAGCTGTCCAGGTCAAGAGAGCGCTTGTGTACACACATCCATATATTCACTGCAATTTACAAAAACATAATCTCTCTAAATAATAATTTCTCTACGATTATTATCATCATTGCAAGTCTGAAGCCATTTTTGAGTTTTTTCTACTGCTCTGAATCAGTCTTAAAAGAAGAAGTTCATAATATAATCTTTTGTGGGTCCTGAAGCCAACGACTCTTCTGACAGCAAGACTCTGTATAAACAGCTACTAGAATGAGACTTAATTGCCCAGTAAATTAATTTATTTCTCAAATCATAATGCATATCTGACTGATCTTATTGACTGCGACAGGTGGATGTACCAAACCTGCTCCCCAAAACACAAGCATGAATCCCCAAACCAAATACACACATCACTGGCAGTGATGTGTGTATCACTGATACACACACTGTCAGTAGAATGAATTTAGATCAGCTGCTTTAACTCCACAATTGGTGAAGTATTTTGAATAAAATTTTGTTCTTTAATGCCTGGGATGGTTTTATAAAGAGTACTTTTTAATTAGGGAAGTTTGCCTCTTCTCTATTTGGAGTCACGGAAGACGGGTCTACCTTGGAAAAAAAACAAATGTTTTAAAATTAGCTATTCAAGTTTTTATGCAAGCATCCTGAAAGCCTGTTTACGATTATTCATGCTTAAATTTGGATTACTAGTATGCACTAGTATGCAGTTCTGCAAACTGTAATAAATCTGTTTAATGCCAAATGTATCAACTCACAAGCACAGAAAAACTTTGCAGCGATAGCACCCCAGTGTGAGTTCTTAAAAAAACCCACCTGTGCCTCACAGCTCCTCTCTTGCGTCGCCTTTTCAGCGTTTTTACTTAGTCTCTTTCCAACAGCGCCTTGGTAACTCTGTGCCTCTTCTTGTGTCACTCTCTCCTGTTTCAGGCTTTTGTCTGTGTGGAAGACAGAAAAAAATACACCTCACTCAATGCACAAAGGGTCAAATAGTTTTGATTATTAATTTTAGAACAATTTAATGATCTTTCAACACCTTTAAATCAATAATGAAGTTA